GCATTAGTCTTATAAAACACTTTTTGAGACCCTCAGAGATGCTTCATTCATTCATTCATTCATTCATTCATTCATTCATTCATTCATTCATTCATTCATTCATTCACACACTGATGGTGGTAAGCTACACTGTAGCCACAGCTGCCCTGGGACAGCCGGACAGAGGCAGGGCTGCCATACTGCGCCATCGGACCCTGACCACCATCAGTAAAACAAGGCGGAACAAGTGTTTTGCCCAACAACTGAGACAGCAGGAACGGGGGATCAAACCAGAATGACTCCCCTAACCATTCGGCCACAGTTGGTGAGGTGAGCACAAAATTAATGTACTTCAGTAAAAATACAGTTACTCTAAAAGTTTTACTTAAATAATAAAGTTTCCAGTGTAAAATTTTAGGCAAATGAAAGTAAAAAGTACCTGATTAAAATTGTACTTTAAGTAAAGTTACCTTTTTATGAGCAAATGAAAACCCCAAATGAAAAGAGTGGTTATTGGTCTCAAACTGTTTTTAATTCAAATGAACATCTTTATAAATAACAATGCAAAACTAAAATAAAACCTTTTGACATTATGAATATTTGGAAGTATAATGTGTAGTATGAATGCAGAACACTGTACTCGACAGCTCAAATAAACTAGATGACAGCTCCAGTGAAAATATTCAAACTGTATCCTTCTGTAAACTGGTCACTTTTTTAGCTGGATCTTGAGGACAACCCAGTACACTTCCTGTTAAGTTTGAGCATCTCTGGATTTTATTAAAGTGAAGAAATCCTCTTTGTCTGGTAAATTCTTCTTCACTTGCTCCTCAGCCTGTTTCATGTAATCAAGTTGTTGCTGAATTTAGACCAGACCTATCCAGTTAAAGAAAACATACACAGTGGATATTTTGACACTATATTATTGATAAATGTATCAAAAATAATTTGTCATAATGTAGAAATTGCATTAAAACTACTGCTGAGCAGAAACCACTGTTTACAGACTAACAATAAAAATAAAATCATTTCTTTGACAACAGCTCTATCAGTACAGGTGCTCCTGAATGCAGAAGTATTGCTGCAGCGAGTTCTGGGTCTTCCTGACACTAAAGCACCTTTGAACACCAGCCTGGATTGTTTTGATGAAGAGCTGACATGTCACAGAGGACATCTCCAGGCTGCTGTGTTTTCTCTGTAGCTTGAAGATCACTGGTAGGAGCCACCTCGTGTGTGTTGGTCTCACTCTGAAGAATGTTTAGAGCCATCACCAGTGGCTTCATCACCTTGAAGTACTCAATCACAAAAGCTGTTTCAGCTGGCACTGAACCTGCACAACATACACCAAACGTAATAATAATAATATAATAAAAATAACAAGAATGTTTTGGTCTCTTCATTGATCATCTCAAATGAACTAGATGACAGCTGCAAAACAAAACTGCAATTTACCCTTTAATATTTCATAATCGACATTCCTAACATATTTGCATACAATAAAAACATTAAAAAATGAAAATTATTCATATAAATACTCCTCATCAAATTGATAAAGTAATGCTCATTTTTAGCTGAAGTGTTAGAATATAACCTTGAAAAAGGAGAAACTCACTCACATTTTTTACTTTGAATTCTTCGCAGATATTCTTACTAATGGTATAATCCATATGATTCTCTCCGCTGCCATGAATGTTGAATTCCACTGAGTCTGATTGGGTCGGATCTGTGGCAGTTGTGGTTCCTCCTCCCAGTCTGTTGCCTGGCAGCAGATTATCAGCAGCTGCACCCACTTCACCTGATGACTCCTGGAGCTTTATAAGGAGCTCATTGTGATTCAGACCTTTGCTGGAACATCAACACCATTAGGTATTGATCTCTGCTAAAGATAGATTCATGTTAACAAAAGTAAGCTTACCAAGCACTTTTTGTATTTTTGCCAAGTTGTCCTGTTGCTCCTATGAGGAAGTCATAATTAGAGTTCTGCTTAAGAAAGTTTGGAAATACTCACCTGCTGCCACGCCCTGCTCAACTCACCTGCCGCTCGGGTAAAGACTCACCTGCCTCTCTGCCTCACCTCTCTGGTCCTCCCGTTACGGATTCTGGTTCTACTTTTGTCTTTTAAAGTGTTGGATAAAACAGTCCAGTCCTCCTGGAAAATTAAGACATATTACCTTAAAGAAAGAAAACCTTCTCTCACCATCAAGCCAAACCTGACCACTTGTCTCCTCTCACAGGTTCTGAAGCTGATCCAGATCTCACTGTAAATAAACTCACTTACCTTAATTCTGTCTCCTGAGTATTTGTTCCTCTTTCCTGCCTAACTGTGACATTGCCTCTTGATTTCATGATAGTATCAGCTGGAGCTTACATTCATTCTCCACAGTTTCAGCTACATGTATGTCAGTCCTGACTGGTTCCAGATTACCTGGTGTTTCCAAAAGCTACACGTAATAGTCATTTGAAAGTTTCTTGCCTCTGCCAACATGGCATCTGTTGTGACGACTAGATTTAACAGGTGGCTTGCACATCAGTGATGTGGTGGCAGCTGGTATTCTAGTCCGCTGTCTTGTTCCAGAATTCTGAATGAGTCCAAATCATCCACTTTGTACTCCCCACAAGAATCTTTGTCCGACTCCAGCTCTGCCTCCTCATCCTGGCTTTTCCCTCCAAACTCAGTGTATGTTTTAATTCAGTTTGAGCCACTGTCTGTTGTGGTTCTCACCACTATGCCCCTATTTTTCTGCTGACAAAGAATATTATCAAGGGTACCTGCTGAGACATCAAAGGTGTGGGACCCCTTTAACCATTTAAAGGATTCAAGGATATTGTCATTCACTTCACGTAAACACCAAATGTTTATGAAATTGAACTAAACTGGTTTCACAGGCTCTGGTGACAGAATATAAGAATAATTTAATATTAAAAAATAACAAAAAATAAAAATGCTGTAAACAAATAAATAGGATATCAAAAACAACAGGGGCAGGACAACTACAAAAACTTTTCCACCAGAGCAGTTGCTGTGCCACACAAGCTGCATTTCCATTGACCATGAAAATGCACAAATTAGAGTTTTGAAATTAAATTTGCTCAATGGAAACAAGTCAATTTCGAAAAAACTTTTTTTCGAAAAAAAAGTTTTTGCGCTAGGATGAGGTGTTTTTTTGGCTGTATCAAAATTGATGTTTCTCAAAACTGCATTGGAAACACATTTTTGGATCACGGAAGTCACGCGATCATGAACCGACTGTTTCTACTGGCGAAAAAGACGACAATGAAGAAGATAACAGGAAGCAGATGTAGTAGTAGTAAAATCAGACCGAAGTTATATAAGAAAGTAGTAAACTCATGTCTACAATTTCCCAAAAATGCAGCATACATAGGCGCTCCCAAGTATGCTTTTGAGCGACAATGGTTGTCGCTCAAAAGTCTCGATAAGACGCTGACATCTCCTCTGATGAGCGCTAGTGCCATGTTAGCAATTATGTTTGATCACACACACGACAGGCCCTGGAGCAGTGTGGTTATCCTGACTGGGCTTTCTTGAAAGCAGACAGGAAACACAGAAAGGATTCCATGCAACCTTCAGGTGAAAATGAAGACCCCAAACCAGTGGTTATTCCGTATGTTGCGGGTGTTTCGGAGAAACTGAGATGTTTATTTTCTAAACATGATGGCCCAGTAGCTTTCAAACCCCAAAACACATTGCAGCAAAGGCTGGTTCACCCCAAAGATCCGGTGCCCCGGCACAAACAGAGCAATATTGTGTATGCTGTGAAGTGCCAGGAGGACTGCTACCAGTTATACATCGGGGAAACAAAGCA